AATTTAATTTGTAAGTAACTACAGTAGGTGTTAAATTATAAAATAAAAGAAAAAAAGTATCAGGTACAGGTTTTAAATGTAACAAAATTAAAGTAACAATTTAAAAAAACACTTGGTAGAATGACAAATCCTCAAAAAATTATATATATAGTAAATAGGAGCAGATATATACTTTAAAGAAAATATTTAGCTTCATATTTACTCTACTAGGTTTAGTGGAACCAGTTGACCTGGTTGAGTAAATTCAACACTTCATTTTTTAAAGCAGAAACAACTCATGAGGAGTTCAGATTAATTTTGTAACGAGTAACTAGGTGTTAAATTTTAAAGTAAAGAAGTATTTTTAGGTTTTTAATGCAACAAAATAAAAGTAAAGATAAGGGTATTAAAAAGTACTTTGTAAAATTACAAATCCTCAAAGACTTTTACTTAAGTACTGTAACAAAGTAAATGTATTTTGTAACGAGTAACTAGGTGTTAAATTTTAAAGTAAAGAAGTATTTTTAGGTTTTTAATGCAACAAAATAAAAGTAAAGATAAGGGTTTTAAAAAGTACTTGGTAAAATTACAAATCCTCAAAGACTTTTACTTAAGTACTGTAACAAAGTAAATGTACTTAGTTACTATAAACCTCTGCAAACCGTTCAGCTCCTTAGGACATTCCAGCTGTGACTTTTTTGATATTTCAGCTATTTATACTTTTTTAGCTGTTTCACTTTTTCGGCCACATTTTTAAAATGAATGGCGCTGTTTTCAACATCCTTAAAAACCTTCAAAACTTTCTAAATCTTTACAGAAACTTACAGCTTTTGTTCTGGTTCTGCTCCTTTTAACTTCCTTCTGCTAATTCTAGCATCTTTTTTTGTGCAAATTTTAGCTTTTTTTTCCTGCTATTTCAGCTATAATTCTGCTTTTTTCTGCTGCTGTTCAGCTATTTTCTACTTTTTTGTGTTTCTTTCTGCTAATTTGAGCTATTTCTGCTTCTTATAGTTGCTTTCTGCTATATTCAACTATTTGCTGCAATGCTAGATATTCAGCCGTTATTAGCTAAAGTTAGCATTTTAAAGCTAAGTATACAGAATATATTTTTTGTAGCTAATACAACTTTTTTTTGCTCAGTTAAGCAAACTTGTGCTCCTTATGCTTCCTTTCTTTAGGCTGTTTTTAGCTATTTTACAACAAATTAGTCACTTTTTTGGACTTTTATTTATTTTTTTCCCTACTAATTTGACATTTTTTCACCTCTTTCACCATATGGATCCAAAGTTCATCTTATTTGCTACCTTTAGCTTGTTTTTAAGCTAACTTTAGCTATTTTTCTGCCTTTTCAGCTATGATTCTGCTCCTTTCTGCTATTCTTCTGCTAGTTTCTGCTTTTTTGTGCTTCTTTAAACTTTTCAAACTGAACTGACATTAACAGTTTTACTATTAAACATTTTCAGCTGAAGTTTCAGCTGCATTTTCAAAGGAAATTCAATTCTCTAGTTATCTTTATTTTGTTTTCTATTCACACAGATGATACTTGAATCATGAAACATTCTCTGCACCGTGTGACAGTTTGGAGAGAGAATCAAAACTGAAGTGATGAAGTTAAGAACCTGTRGTTTAATTTAATTTAACTGAATTTCTTGTTTCAGAGATCTCCAGCTCAGCCGTGGAGGAGGAGGCCCAGGAGCTGCCGCTCTGCAGCTGCCGCATGGAGACGCCCAAGAGCCGCGAGATTCTCATCCTGGCCGACAGGAAGTGCATGGCCACGGAGAGCGTGGACGGGCAGCTGACGCGCTGCCAGAGCGCCGTGCTGAAGCACGAGATGATGCGTCCCTCTAACTCTGTCCAGCTGCTGGTTCTGTGCGAGGACCACCGCGGCGGCATGGTGAAGCACCAGTGCTGCCCCGGCTGCGGCTTCTTCTGCAGGGCGGTGAGTCGTCACGTCTCAAAATCTGTTCATGTGCACATAAMCGTCAGGAAAAACTGTCACCGGTTAATATGTGGAGATAAACCRAATAACAGATGGGCTGCTTCCTCCTTACAGTCCACTCTGTCGCAGACTGTTTCAGGGTGTCTGCAGGGCTACAGAAAGGATTAAAAAGCAAAAATCAAGGCCATTAAAAAGTTTTAAAAAGTACCAAGCATAGTCTGATGAGGTAATAATTTTCTGAACAACTAGCCCTCCAGCGTCATAAAATATTGGGTTCACCCAGAGATTTGACAGACGTTTATCTGGACCTATCAGAGGCGCAACTTTCATGTTGAACACACTAGACAGGCCGGATAGCCAATCATAAATAGGGTGGGGCGGGACTTGGAGTTGGAGCGGTGCTCAAAATAAAAAATAAATTTGTCAGAACAAGTTTGAAAAATAACTGGAGATTTTTAAAAACCAGCTGTCGGAGATAAATCTGCAAACAGATGTTTACTGAGTCCACCTGAGAGAGAGAGAGGGGAGCCGTGTGGGTGGATGCTAACRTTAGCTAAAGTTAGCTGGACAGTAGCTTCCCTCCTCTCTCTGAAAAGGTTCTGATTGGTCCATCAGTGTGCAGCTCCACATTTAAATACAGTATCTTCACATTGTTGTTATTCAAACTCTAAAACTGACTGAACTACATCCAAACACACTAAATATCATAAATCTCACATTTCTCTCCTGATCTCACCAAACTCCATTCAGCTTTCACCTCCTTTTTCTTCCTGTTCCTGTAGATTTTTTGGGGTTTGTCAAATATTTTCARGCATCAKTCAGAAAGGAGTTTGTGGGTGTTSTGTTAGTTCGGCAGTGGGTGTGTGTGTTAGTGTGGTGGGAGGACCAGACCAGATAAGAACAGAGGATGGATTGAGGTGTTTTTTCCAGCTGCATCTCGCTGCAATGCATAAAATACGATTAGAATTAAATAACTTGAAAATGCCGTAAATTATTTCTCATAACTCTGGTTTTATTTGTTCCATCTTACACTTTTAAAAACTGGTTCGTAGTTTAAAGTTTGTGTTTCTGATATAAATTTGATACAGGACGTGCCGGACTCCAGGAGGTGARTCATCACAATTAATTGTGAATAATTAGACATAGACAGGAAATCCTGACGGGAACATCTGGAGAATAAACTTTCTGTTGCTGTGTGCTCAGATGGATGTTTTCAGCCACATGTTGGTGGGATCAGAGTTGAAGACTTGGTGTTTTTCAGGGGACCTTCATGGAGTGCCAGCCGGACGTCAGCATCTCTCACCGCTTCCACCGGGCCTGCGCCTCGGTGCTGAAGGGTCAGAGCTTCTGTCCTCACTGTGGAGAGGAGGCCGGCAAGGCCAAGGAGGTCACCATYGCCAAGGCCGACACCACCTCCACGGTCCCCGAAGCGCCCGCGCACGGTCCCGCCACGCCGGGGGCCTCGGAGGGCCGAGCGGACACGACCACCGGCAGGTAAACCGCCGTCTGTTTTCACCAGTGTCRGGAGTGGAGAACGAACTGAGTTTGTCTCGTTTCCGTTTCAGCTCGACTTATTTGGCTCCGGTGGCTGAAGTCAGCGGCAGGGCCGACAGCTCGCTCTCCATCCGCTCCTCCGCTCACGAGACGGACCTCTCCGCCGTTCCCGGGTCGTCCAGGACCGCCTCTCTGCAGGCCRGGACCGGAGCGACCGCCCCGCTCACCCTCCTGCCAGGACCTCCCAGGGAAACGCTGGAGAGCATTCTGGTCGCTCTGGACACGGAGAAGTGAGCGCCACGGCTGGACGGACACATTTAGGGGTTTTCCCCTTAAACTACAAAAAATAAACAACTTTGTTTTTAATTTGTGTTTTTCTTTTAGACCCAAGAAACTTCGTTTTCACCCAAAGCAGCTTTACCTCTCAGCCAAACAGGGGGAACTGAAGAAGGTGGTGCACATGTTGGGTACGTTAGACCTCCATCCAGACCTCRGGTCTTTATAGTTTCTCCTGATCTGTGAGAAATTAAAATGAAATCACTGATCTAACAGGATTCTCAGCTTCTACCACATCAAACTGTCCAGCGTTAAAGCAAACTAGAGAATCTGCATTTCCTGCTGAAGTTAAGCTGAAAAGGTTTAACAGCAAAACCCTTCATGTGCATAAAACAGCTGACTTTTGCTGAGTGGGAAAACAAAAGTTAAAATTCAGTAGATAAATAGTTAATTTTACAGATCAGAAATGTAGCTAAAATTTGCGAAAAAATTTAAAAAAATTCACAAAATAAAAAAGTTGCTTAAAAGCAGAAAAAAGTTGAATTGACAAACAAAATRTTAATAACAGAATAAAGCCTAAATGTAGACAAAATAAGTTAAAAAAAAGGACTAATTAGTGACCTTGACCTTCTTATTTTTTGACTTTGAAATTAATGGGCCTCATTTTTGCCCATAAAGACGTCTAGCTTCACAACGAGACACATTTATGTTCAATAGTAATTAATTTAGAGCTATTTTAGGGAAAGTGTTGACCTTTGACCTTGAGCTTTACCCAAATGACCTTGGAAATCAGTAGATTTTATTTATGACACGTGGGGTGTCCTGCTGTGAAAATGGTTATCATTTTAAAGGTATTTACCAAAACGTGTGACCTTTGACCTTAAAATCAATGATATTTGACCCACGTGTCCAGCTGCAAGGTTTGACATTCCTACATTACACGGTTGCAGAGTTATAGCTAAAAAAAAGGTGCCCACTGATTGACAGGCAGCTTGTTTTAGCTTTGTTAGCATTTTGTTATGCTAATTAGCTTTCAGCGTGTGGTAGGGATCCTTTTCAGCTACTAGCTCACCTAGATTTGGCTTATTGTCTTTAAATCTGATTCAGTTAAAGATGAGAGAACTTAATTCAGTACAAAACATATTAAATTAGTAGAAAAGCAGCCGAAACAAGACTAAAAGTAGCTAAAACTAGCAAAAAGAAGCTCAAAGTTTCAGAAACAATTTGATATTAGCAACCAGGCCGTGAAAGGAATGTTAAAAAAAAAAGCTTTTTTGCAGAAAATTGAGTGCAAAAGGTTGAAATTCGTCGTAAAATAGCCAAAATGGACAAAATATCCCGAAGAACAGCAAAAACCAGTCAAACAGTAGCCAAAACTGCAGAAAACAGCTGAAATGAACAGAAAGCAACTAACAGATACATAAAAAGCTTAAATTAACAGAAAGCACAAAAACGTATAAATTAGACTGATAGCGGAAATAGTTAAAAAAGGCTAAAGTTAGGAAAAAAAAGCTAAAATTAGCAGAAGGAAGTTAAAACAGCAGAGCAAAAGGTACAGTAAAGATTAATAAATATGTTATAAGCTTTCACACAAATATAAAGACGTGACAAATGATTGGACTTCGGCTGTTTTTAAACTTCGGCATCATTTTTTTGTTTACCTTCCAGTGGATGGCATCGACCCGAACTTCAAGATGGAGTCTCAGAACAAGCGCACGCCGCTGCACGCAGCAGCCGAGGGAGGATTCACCGACATCTGCCACATGCTCGTTCAGGTAAACRCCCGGCTTCTCGCCTCCAGCCGCTTCCTGTTTAACGCTAGCAGCTTACTGTAGCTGTGTGACGCTTCAGGCCGGAGCCAACCTGGACACCTGCGACGAGGACCAGCGGACTCCCCTGATGGAGGCCTGCGAGAACGACCACATGGAGGTGGTCCTGTACCTGCTGAGAGCCGGGGCCAGCGCCGGGCACAAGGTCCGTCAGCTGCACACAGGAAGGGAGCAGAGCRGAAGCCTTGGTGAACATTTAACCTCTGAACTCCAGAAATGTTCCTGCTTTTGTTTCCAGGACGTTGAAGGGTTCACCTGTCTCCACCTAGCAGCGAAGTCCGGTCATTACAAGGTTGTGGAGCATCTTCTGCTGTCAGGACTCATCAACATCAACTGTCAGGTCAGAGCCACTTCCTGGATTTTCTGCAAATTACAGAAGAACAGGAGGAATTTAAATAATGAGACGTGTTCTACCTTTTTACTGGAAATGTTTTCATATTTTCAGTATTTCTGTCTTTTCTTAGCAAGATTTTATTTGTCTTGTCTTTGCTGTTTTTGTTCTGTTTTTTATTATTTATGTTTTTGCTGTATATCATATTTTAAGCACACATGTATCAAATATTTCAGCTGTTTTAACAAGAATGTTGCTGTGACTTCTGTTTTTTGTAGCTTTTAAAATTTAAATTAACTTTTTTATTTATAAATCCAGTACTTTATTAAAAAATTCTCTTAGATTACTTCAGACACATTTCACTGCCTCTGTTTTTGTCTTCTCATGCTACTTTTAGCTTTTAGCTACTATTCTGCTACAGCTTCTTGCTAACCTTTTGCTACTTTTAAACCATCCTTTTCATACTCTTAGCAGCCAGAGACCTTTGCTACTTTTATCTAGCCTTTTGTAACTTTTAGTTTTTAGCTTGCCTGTTTCCATTTTAAATTTTAGCTATTTTTAAAATTGCTACATTTAGCTAGCMTTTTTTTGTTTTTATCTGTTTGCTATTTTTAATGTTAGCTATTCTACATTTAGCTTCTTCCTAGCCTTTTGCTGCTTTTTAGCCAGGTTTTTGACACTTTCTGCTACCCTTTTGCTAAAGATTAGTTACAACATTGTTACGTTTATCTTTTTATCATTTTGCTACATTTAGCTAGCCTTTTGTTGTTTTTATCTAGGTGTTTGCTATTTTTAATGTTAGCTATTCTGCTACATTTAGCTTCTTCCAAGTCTTTTGCTACTTTGATGCTTTTAGCCAGACTTTTACTAYGTATAGCTTCTGGTTTGCTTTTTATTACTTGTTGCCTTTGATACTTTTAGCATCTAGTTAACCTTTGCTATTTCTAGCTTTTAGCTAAATCTTTTGCTGCTTTTACCTTTTTCTTAGTCTTTTTCATTTTTTGAATTTTAGCTACTGTTCTACTCCTTTTAGCTCCTTGCTAGCATTTGGCTACGTTTGATTTAGCCAGCCCTTTGCTTTATTTTGTTTCTGGTTTGGCTTTCATTTCTTGTAGCTTGCTCTTTGATACTTTTAGCATCTAGCCAATGCTTTGCTCTTTTTCGCTTTAAGCACTCAGTTTTAGTTTATTCTGCAAACGTTTAGAACTCGTTTTATTATGTTTTTTTCCAGAAAATTACGCTTGTTTTGTTTTCTTTAAATGATTAGATGTAATATTTCCCTCTGAAATATTTATTTCTGTGAGGTGCTGATTGTTGATGAGCGATAAAAGCAGAAATAAATCCTGCTCTGGTCGAGTTTCCTGTTATGATTCCAGAGATGTTTTTGTTTCTCAGGACGATGGCGGTTGGACAGCCATGATCTGGGCCACGGAGTACAAACACGCGGACCAGGTGAAGCTGCTTCTGTCCAGAGGAGCTGACATCAGCATCAGGGACAAGGTTGGGTCTGAACATTTATCTACACAATCATCGTTTTAATTGTAGCGTCTCTAAAATGAATATTTTTCTGTTTAGGAAGAAAACATTTGCCTTCACTGGGCGGCGTTTTCTGGCAGYGTGGAGATCACGGAGCTGCTGCTGAACGCCCGCAGCGACCTGCAGGCCGTCAACGTCCACGGAGACTCTCCTCTGCACATCGCTGCTCGGGAAAACCGCCTGGATTGTGTCAAGTAAAGACCTCTGAGGATTTAAAACTTTAAAAACTAAAAAAAAAAAAAGGTCTGACTGCACATGAACCGGGTTGTCGGTTTCTGTCTCTTCAGACTCCTCCTCTCTCGAGGAGCAGATGCGTTCCTGAGGAACCGTGAGGGGGAAGCTCCTCCCGACTGCTGCAGCCACAACTCCAAGGCCTGGGCTGCCCTGCAGGCCARCAGGAAGGAGAGGGACGCCAAGAACAGCCGGCTCGCTCAGGCAGAAGAAAAACTCCTCCACAGGTGGGCTCAGGCTCTAAGCTGCACTTTTACAACTTCAAAACAAGACAAACAACTGAGGCGAGGCTGCTCTCTGTGCTGGCAGTGACGTGTCGTTGGGCCAGGAGCAGGTTCCCATTCCCTGTGTGAACTCTGTGGACAGCCAGGCTTTCCCAGACGACTACAAATACATCTCAGAGAACTGCGTCACCTCGCCCATGAACATCGACCGCAACATAACACACCTGCAGGTGAGTGGCCCCGCCCTGACCTGTTGCAGGGAGCGAAGCAGGAAGTGACCCGTGTGTTGTCTTCTTTACGGTGAACAGTACTGTGTTTGTAAAGAGGACTGCTCGGCCAGTATCTGCATGTGTGGACAGCTCAGCCTGCGCTGCTGGTACGACAAGGTAAGGACTCACCGCGCGCTCTTTTCACGCGTTTTTACCGTGACCGTGACGTGGTTTTTTTTTTTTTTAACATGCAGAGTGGCTGCCTCCTGCCCGAGTTCTGCCGCGAGGAGCCTCCTCTCATCTTCGAGTGCAACCACGCCTGCTCCTGCTGGAGGACCTGCAAGAACCGAGTGGTACAGAATGGGCTCAGGTACCTTAAACAAACCTTCCTGTTGAGTTTACGTCTGCTGGGCTGCAGCTTGTTGGTGAACATGGAGTTTTCAAATGTTTCTCATTTCCTGGTGAGTCACAGTCTGAGGCTACGGTTCTCAAACAGGAAACGGCAGAGCGCTCCTTCCTGGTTAGAAGCAGGTTTTTGTGTCGAGCGCAGGAGTTCGATGGATGGAGGATTAGTCTGAACCTGTGAGGGCGTTGCTCCTGTCAGTCAAAGACAGGGTTCCTGCAGATCCTTAAAAAGTCTTAAAAAGCTATGAGTCCAAAACTARRGCCTTAATTAGCCTTAAAATCCCGATCATGCAGAGGTCTTAAAAATGTCAACACGTTGTAAGGAGGATGATGTAATTTGTCTCAAATATTGAAGTAATTGGTAATAGCTAGTTCTCTGTTAAAATAAACATTTTGGTTTTTTGTCGCTGATTTATTTATTCTAAATTTGTTTGGCATTAAAGTCTTAAATTTATTTTTAGTGGCATTTAAAATCTTCAAGTCTTAAAT